GTTGTAGCTGACTCTGCAGCCTTGTGTCACCGAGGAAGAGAGAATTTTTACTGACAAGGGCAATTTAGTAACATTAAAGAGCCCATATTGTGCCTTTTTTTGTTTTCTCTCCCCATTAATTTAGTGTTTTATAGCGTTTATGTACATATAAGAGGTCTGAAAACTTACACAGCCCAAAGCCAGCACCTAAGGGAGTTATTTACTCCACATAGAAAACTCTGCTCTCTACCTGCCGGACATTTGAAGTTTAGGTTTTCTCCTGTTACACATCTATCTCACAGTGTAACACATTTGCATAACGTCTGCCTAGTGGCTGGTTTAAAACACCCTCAAACAAACACAAGACAATGAGAAGCTTCCTCACTACTTTTTCCCTGCTTAGAGCCTTAGAGCATCACTGCCGCTGTATTCAAACACCAGTATGTATCCCACAATGCATCACAAGAGGTGATCTGGAGGAAACAGGAACTAAAATTAGCCATTTCAGACAGACGGTGAGAAGAGGTGCTGCTGTAATATATGTAAAGTATGAGACATAAGAGCCCCAAAACAAAATGAATAAGCTCTAAATGAGCATCATTTGGGCAGAATGTTATTAGGAAATTGAGGCTCCTGGATTAAACAGACTTCTTTATTGTTTTTATATGATTAAAATTTAGCAATTAGGACAAAAATGGAAAAAATGTCACAACAGCAAACTCTCTGTTATGAATTATTAACCAGGACGGACATTCATGAGATGCTCATAACATGCTGACATCAGATTTCTACATAGAAAGGACAAATCTGCTCCGTCCTGGAAAGCAGCTGAAGTGACCTAAAGGTGTTTTAATTCAAGTAAGGCAAAAAGGGAAAAAAAATCCATTCGGCTGTGTGGCTTTTACCTGTCAGATGCAATCCATGTCACGGTGCTCAAAGTTCAGTCAGAGTTCACAACGATCTAGATAAGATCCATTTGCTATTTATTAATTCAAGCTATGGTTTGTTGGCAGTGAGTCACTCCACTCCAGCTGTAAACTATGACATGTCCGGGTTTAATATTTCTACAGTTCATAGGATCTTCACATTTCTGTTATCGTCCACGTCTAATTTTACTTGCTGCAGTCTTCATCTATCTATAGAGTCTCGTCGTAACACTCCACTTTACTCTTTAACCTTCCCTTCAAAATGTGTGTCTGCTTTCCCATCGACCCCTTTGAGGTGCAACAAAAAAATGGTCACATACTGTAGTTACTGTTATTTCAAAGTTTTTTTTTTAAATCTATGACTCAGAGTTTGACTTGCAAACACGAACATAACATTTCATACAATCCCATTTTCAGGAGAAGGGAGACGAATATGTAAAGAGACGACTCTGAGGACAGGTAGCAGGAGGCCAAACACTTCACATGACGTTATAAGATGACAGCAGAGAAGGCATGTTTGTGCGAACACCCGGCACAGCTTGAACGTGGAAGTGCATTTCCAACCCGACCTCAGCTCCTCGCTCCTCTCCTCTTGACCCTTCCCGTCTAATCAAACACACTGATGTGATCACATGTCTTACACTCTGAACCTTTGCACCAACTGGAAAATCCATTATATGTACTCAGCTCGAGACCTAGACCATCAACACACATTCTTGCGCACACACACACACACATCCTGCAGAATCAATAACGCACATTAGGTCTTATTGACAACGCCAACTGGGGTTAACAATCTGGCCTAAATGTAGGCGCTGCCTATTAAGCCCTGTGTAAATGTCATAGGGCAGCAGGATCAACGAGTCCAGATTTGTTTGAATGGGATTAAGATTCTGCTCTCTCTCTCTCACACATTTACACATCTAGGTCAACACGGTAATAGGCTTTACTTTGACACTCACACACAGAAGAACGCAGCAGCCGGAATATATAAATTAAACCTTGAGCTAAATCATCTAAAAACTTCTGCGTGAAAGGGGCTCCCGACATTTGCCTGTTGAAACTAACGTCTGCCACGATAACTTCAGTGTACAGACTGTTCTGACATTAAGGCGTAAATTGAGGAAATGATTTGTGACTAAATATCAAGACAAAGGTATGATGCGCTTTTCGTTGGATCACAAGATAACCCTGCTTGTTACTATGGACACCCTGCAGACATCCCATTATATCTAATTATATAGTAAAATGCTAGCATCTCTCAGTGATAGGCTTTTGTTCATCCA